AATTTGGGGAGGAGAGTACCGTGCAGTGGCTGATTTCACAGGAAATGTCTTTACCAAGCCCCTAGGTGTCAAATACCAGGTGCATGGTCAGCCATGGTATTCCTCCCTCTCCCCTTTTTGGCATGTCACAGTGGTTGCCTTGCTCCCGTTTGGGCTCAGATCCAGTCTTCCTACTGGCTTCCTGCTGTTGCTTTGTCTCCTGCTTTGCAGCGATAGCTCCTAGTTGACACCCTCGACCCCATCTTGAAGGGGCTCCCAAGCTCCTGGCCCCAAACCTTTTCCATCATCCACCAGCCTGAACCCAAGAAAGGCCTTGGGCCTTCCTGGGGCGCTCGGGGCGGGGCTGGGGTCAATGACTGCAGCCTTCAGCCCATGGTCAGCTGCTGCTCAGCCGCAGGGGGGCTGGGACTCCATGAAGTGCCTTACGTTTGCAGAGGCCTCCAGAAGACCAGACCTAAGACCCTGCCTGCTTTCACCACAACCCTTGTCCCAGCAGGGCTGAGCAGCTTCATATCTGGCTCGCGCTCAGGCAGCTCAGGCCCTGCTTCTGTGGGAACAGCACTGGAGAGGGAAGCCAGGCTTTGACTGGCACAGCAGGGTCCAAGGCAAAAAATATCTGTGATCTGACACCCTCCACGAACCTCTTTCTCACAGAGCACATCTCCTTCTGCAATGCACTGAAAGAGGAAAGTCGCCCAACAGACACTGCGCTGGGTGAGGAGGTGGCAAAGCCACAGCTGCCACATGAAGCAGCGTTGGAGCTGCACGCGACACAGCCACCTAAGCAACACAGCCATGTACTCACTGCTGCATCTGCAGAGCTGACTCTGAGAGACTGGGCTGGAGCCAGCATGGCTCCTTGGAACTGCAGGAGACAAGGAGCACCTCCAGGGCATAAGGATACAAGGCCCACAGCCACCACCCCGAGAGATTCCCCACTGCCCCAGTGAGACCCAGCCACCCTGGGATCGGGCTTTCCCTGCATAGCAGCATTCATGTGCATGTCCGTGTCACCAGGGATGGTCAGGACAAGGATGGATGGGTGATGCCTGTTTCTGCTGAGGTCCTGCCACCCCGGGAAGGGCCCACGGGCAGCAAGAAGCTGTCCTGCTTGGCTCTCGGACATGGGCAGGAAGCTGCTGGGGCTGCAGCAAACCTTGGGAGCAAGCCTGGCTGCAAAGGGTGTCCTGGGGGGGCAGAAGGGCCATGGCCCCTGGGGGGGATCACAGCTGGATCTGGGCGCTGTCAGTGAGGGTGGCTTCAGTGGAGGCAATGGGGGCCACGGATGAACATGGTGGCACTGGGACCAGCGGGCACCAGGACACCCAGCCCTGGAGCCCTGCAGCAGTGCCAGCAAAGCCGCCCCAGGTCCGGCTCCCTTACTGGCCTGACCCACAGCGGCCAGCCTGCAACTCAGCCCTCTCCCCACTCCTTCTCTGTCTTCTCCCTCCACATGTTTGCAGCCCTTCCCCTCGCCAGCCT